GTTCTGTCTTCGCCTGTTCTCCTGGAAGCCAGTCCTGACCCCCCCAAAACAACTTTGATTAGAAGCTCCAAATGGCTGATGTTTACCCATAAGCCATGCAAAAGTATAAAGAGGGGCGACACCAAATGCTGAGCATCATTTAAAAAGTAATAAACCACAAACCACAGTTGAACCATCACAGATCCATTCCCTTTCATCTATCATTTAACGTGTGAGAGTTCTGTCACTGTAAATCATCCCAGCTCCGGCTTCATCATCTGAGTAATGTAACCGTGCCTACATAACTCATCACCTCGACCATAAATAAAGCCTTCAAAAGCAGTGTATATAAACAGGCTGTTAAAACACTCTCTGGGAATTCGGTCCCTCCCACACATACCGGGCCAAGAGCCTGTTTATTCTCACCAGAACATCTCGCGTTTGACCGAAGATCTGTGCCCTCCTAATGTACGACACGCTGCCTGCTGGTGGCAGATCAACACGCCTGGCATATGGGTGCCCTCCTTCTCCTTTCTATTTATCTTTCTACCTCCCTTTCTCGCTTTATATATACCTCTCTCTGCCAAACCCCCAAAACCTATGAACCAGACAAGCTCTATGGCTGGCAACAGACCCCTCATCCCCGTCTCCCGCCCACCACCTGGCTGATGGAGCCGTGCCACGATGGAGAAAGATGATCTCCATGCAGAGAGCTGGCACTATGTGCCCAAATCTCATCACCACAATGCCCACAGAGCTTATTCCATCAAAATAAAGCTATTCTGAACTTTTATTGCATTAAAGGGATATTAAAGGGATAGATCAACCAAAAATGGAAATTCTGTCAGCATTTACTCACCCCTTACCACCTGGTGCGACATTTTTCTACTGTGGAACACCAAAGAAGCTATTCTGATTTTTTGTTTTCAAACAGTCAAAATGTAGTTTTGGACCCATTGACTTACATTAACTTACATTGGACCCATTGACTTACATTAACTGGACAAAAACAGTTGAAACATTTGTCAAAATATTTTCTTTTTAGTCGCAGTAAATGTGCGCAGTCATATGTTAATGTACCCGTTATGATGTCACAATCAGTTTAGTCTTGCATAAATGGCCTCATTAAACTAATTAGGGACATTTACATTGTAAAAGGAAGTGTATATATATACTGAATATAGCTCATATTTTTGACTGACTAAGCTATACAATCAATGTATATTATATCTATGTGATTTCCTAGAGGAAATGTCACATTGTCATCTCACAGGAGAGCCAAACATATCATAACTAATGATGTAGGCAACCTGGATGATGGGGGCACAGATAAATGACAGGACGGACAGTTGTGCGGTTCAGGAATCTAGACCAAAAATCAACTCCTGCGGGGTTCTAGAACTATTTGTGTACCAGAATTCTTTCCACTGCGCACATTCAGTCTACAGTTAATGATAATGACAGTCTCGTTTGAGGAACATAGACTGCAAGCGTTTCTGCTCAATGTGAGAAGAACTCATCCAAAAACCTTCCATTTGTAGGGGTAAACTTGGGAATTTCAGATGTTTGATTATGCGTTTATTTTGTTTTCGGTTCACTGAGGTAAAAACATATTTTGTAGACACTGCTGTAAAAGGAGTTACCAAATTTCCAAGCATAAAATGTATAGTGTCTATCGTATTCTGGATGAAAACCGCTATTTTTAATGCAACTTTGGAAAACTGATTTTCTCAGCAACAATATAAAATGTTTTATTCAACAGACCATCTGTTCTGCAACCCTCACGGATCACGAACTTACAATGACCTTGGAGTTTTGAAACAGCAGTGTCTTTTAGGTGCCGGATATCACTAATAAATGAATCTGAAATGTAGGTTAATGGTTTTGGTAATAGCATCACACAGTCAGTCCTATAATTGAATGGAGTTACTGTTCAAATCCAATCTGAAAACTCAAATATTTTTGATATGAAAATATGAGAGAAAGATCATTTTCAATGCTGATAAGAAATAAAAATCAAACTGAAAAGAAACCCAATCTGAAAACACTCATTGAGAATGAGAATAAATATTATCCTGCAGCAAATAACCATTATTTCCAGCTTTAGAGAGCTGCAACAACTTCAATTAATCCTGAAGTCATCAAAAGGAATACAGTTTCTTTGCTTTCCCTTTTAAATAAAGATATTGCAGCTCAACGGGGAGGTTCAGATCCTAATTAGATAGCAGAGTGTGAGTGAATTGTAAATGCTTTGGGTTTTGAAGCGTTTTGCAATAAGAATGCATGGAAGAGGAACTTAATAGACAGGATTTATGAGTAGCTGGAGACCAAATCTCCGTTTTGGCTTTGAATTGTGTGAGAATGGTGCTATTCTTTCCAAGCAGTGCCAGAACATGGGGACTATTATGTCTCGCTGATATCTCAGAGCAGATGGTGAAATACTCGAGCAGGTGAAGGATCTTTCCTTTGACAACACTAGGGATGCACCGAATGTTCGGCAACAGAAATTATTCGAATTATGCCGAATAAGCGAAAAGACTGAATAAATTGTACCGAACAATGATATGAAGCGATCAAATAGCAACCAGTGAAGAGTGAGAGGCGCGCTCTTTATAATGCAGCACACAAGTCAGCAGTGTGGAAGCATTTAAAACTGTCAGAGAAAGACGCAAAAACCAGCGAGAGACTGCATCACATGTCTTCGATGAGAAGAGGAAGGGGTGATTGTTGCTGTATGATGATTGAAATCGCGAAATGGCCTTAAACAATTAGTAAATAAACTGCAGAGCGTTATGTTTTCTAATACACGCACGCATTGCATGTATTCTGACAGCGCTGCACGAGCTCGCGGCGCTATCTACTTGTTAACCAGGGTTCAAAGTCCAAAGCGCAAGGAAAATCTGCTCTAGTCAGTTGCTCAGTCACATTTTTTTGAATTTTTACAAGGCATGTGACAATGCGATATGTACGATGTATTCGTAATGAGACTCATTTATAAATCTGCCGTTGTCAACAAAAAGAAGCATTAAGGTCTTCCTGTGCGTTTCCACCAAAATAAAAGTTGAGAAAAACTCTATCAACATTCATAAATGTTAGTATTGTAATAAAAATTAAGACAATAATAATGATAATGAGAGAGAGACGTCACTTCCTGTTTGTTGCTGCCATGTGTTTTGAGTTTGAGCTCCGTCAAGTTA